GGCTTTTGGTTTCCACTGAAGAGATCCCTGGCCGCGCACAGGACAGGGCGGCCGGTAACTTCGGCAGCGGACTGAAACCTGGACGTCTCCTTCCAGCCCGGCCCGAGGAAGGCCAAGCTCTAACCCCCTGTGTTTAGGCGGCTGATTGCATCCAAGCGCCACTCACGATTTCGCGGGAGATTTTTCGCGCGTTAACAATCCCTCGCAGAAATGGCCCCTCCCCGCGGAGAACAAGCACGCACGTGCGGGGCAGGCGGGATCCCGGCCCCGCAGAGCTCGCGCCCGCGGCCAAGGGGCGCCTCCAGGGCGCGGAGGACGCGGGGAAGCGCCGCGCAGGTGCAAGCGGCTCACGCACAGGCGGGTGCGGGCAGCCGGGACGCCGGTCTCTGCTGCGGAGCAGGAAAGTGAAGGCCACCGGACAAATCCTGACTCCCTTGATGGGCGCCGGGCACCAGGGACGTGCAGAGCTCGGCGGGGTCGAGAGGTGACAGCGCTGCCGTGAGTGAGAGACTTGTAACGACAAATCGGTCTCACCTTTAGGTTCAGACGAGCTCCCAGCGGCGTGGATGGGCCAAGCTTTCCTCAGCCCCCAGCGCCTCCCTGCCCCCGCTCTCAGGTCTGGCCAGGGGTAGCGCGGGGATCGCACGGGCTCACCAGGACGGGAAATACGAGCAAATACCTCTTCCTCGCTCCGCGGAATCCACTCCCGTTGGGGCTCGTCTCTGACCTGGAAATGAAGTGCGGGGAGGAGCCGGCCCTGGATTGACTGCACCCCCCTCACCCGCCCGAGGGTCCGCGACGGGCCCGATCCTGCCCCCGCTGCCGCCGCCGGCCAGGTCCCCCGGCGTGCGGAGGTGCACGGGCTTCCCTCGCTCCTCCACTTCGCCGGAGAGGTTTCTCTTCCATTCAAGCTCAGGACCTGGGGAGCTGGACTTCAGCGGCTTGAATGGGAAGCGCTGCAGCCCTAGCAACACCCGGGGGGCGGCGGGCTGTGTCCCGGGGCTGGTGCGAGTCTGCCCCCGGCCAGGACGGCTGGAGGGAGCCCCAAGGTGCTGAGGAGCTTGTCTAGACACCAGCCTTTCTGCAAAGGAAGCCCCGTCCCCAAAGGGCGCAGCCCCACAGGCTTGTTCCTCGCTGCAAAGCTGCGCCCGACAAAGACGACGGCGGGGGGAAAGCTGGAGGGGGACTCAGCAGCTCCTGCCGGGCCTTGTGCCGACATCGAAGCCGGGAGGTCCCGAGCCGCAGCGAGAAGGGTCCCCGGGGTGTGCAGGCGTCTCAGCGGCTCCTCCGGCGGTGAGAGCGGGGATGCTCGGCCCGGCCCGGCCCGGCCCCGCACACCTCCCAGCCCCTTCGGCCGGTTTCCGGAGCCCCGGCGCCAGGCTCCTCGCACGGCAAGCAGTCTCGAGTTTATGGGCATAACTTCCCGCCTGGACTTGTCTGCTCCGGCATAAGTGGATTTTCTTATCTCACTTTGGAAGAGGGTTAAAGTAGACCGGGGAACCACTTTAAATCCAAATGTAGTGGGGGGGTGCAGTAGTATAACAACTAAGATTTAACCGCTGGTCTGCACAGGGAAGTTAGTAAGTATACATTTGCAGGACATCAACTATTCTGCTTTGCTGCTGTCAGTCTCCCTGCTTAGACACACACAGTTTATACAAAATGCAAGTTGACTATTTGCAAGCGGGATTTGCCAGCTTGCACAAAAGCCTTGTTCCTACTAGCTGTTGTTGGTGCACATTAGCCAGTGCACTTGAAATTCGCACCTTGTCCAATGAACTCCTCCGTGTAGAGAAATCCAAACTGTGTGTGCCTAATTAAACTGGCTGCATTCAGAGAAAGGAGCCACCCTGCAGTTGTTTGGGTTGTTGCTGTTTTTCCGAGGCAGTGGTTTTCTCTTGTCAACCTATTCCGAGTTGTAAAAGCTCATGGAGACAAGATAAGGTAGTTTTCCTGCAAGGTAAGATAGGTTCTCAGCTCTTGATAGCGTGCCAACCTCACATATTGACCAGTCAGTAAATTGTGTGAGGTCCTTTCTTCCACAGCAGGATAGTAACAGTTACCCCTGCAATGGCAACTAGGCTGTGATGGTCAAATGGTTAAGCCCCCCCCCCCCC